CGAGTGCCCGGCCGAAAGAACGGCTGGCAGCACCAGGAGCGACCGCAGGGTGCTGGGGCCGGGAGCATCGCGCGGGCGGGGCGGCGGGGCGCGGGCAGGGACTGAAAGGGAGGGCTGGGGCGTAGGGCCAGGGCCTGGTCCGGAAGCCCCTTATCCCCTTGGCTTTTGGACGATGACTAGAGCCCCATCATTTAAGATGTCTGCAGAGGCCTGCAGACCAGTTTAATATGGTCCTTGTCTATTTAAAAGGAATTTCACCAAGGTGCTTCCCCCGCCCTCCATCATTATTATATTCCAGTGGAAAAGTTACAAGAACTTGGGCTAACATTTAAAAATTGTGAGCCCTGGACCAGCAGTTAGCGTAATGGCTATGTCGCTGAACTCCCATGTAGTTGAACTCGGTTGGAGTCCCGGATCTGGTGACTTAAACGCCTGTGCGAGTGTGCCCAAGATCCTGCGAGAATGAAGGGATTGCGGTGTGGCCATCCCACCTGGGGGTGATTTCTCGCTTTCTGTCTCTCTGTCTCTCTGTCGAGCTCACGAGCCCCCACCTCCTCCCCTCAGATAAATAAATAAATAATAAAGAATTGTGAGCCCATAAAGAATTCTGACTGGGAGCTTTTTGTGGGCTGGTCAGAGGGTCTGGTGACCAGGTCTGTCCTCCCTGTGGGTACCTGGCCTACCCCCATACCCCCAGTTGCTGGCCTGGCTTGGTGCAGGTGGAGTTTGGGATCAGCCATGCCTAGTGGTTCTACCATCTGGGCCTCAGAGGCTGCAGCCCCTGGGAGGAGCAGGAGGTGGCATGGGGCTGGGTGTGAAATGACCTGGCCCAGCAGCTCCCAGAGAGGCAGCTAGGTGAGCCCTAGCATTTAATTAAGGTCTGTGTGGCCTCTGGGAGGGAGTCCTGCTGCCAGGCCTGGGTTCAAATGTCCACAATGAGTCACTCGTGTGTGCCAGTGGCATGTCTGGTTTCCCTTCTGTTAGGGGTGTGAAAGTATGCATGGTGGACGTGTCTTTTCCAACCCCATTAGCTTGCCTGCTGGGTAGGCTACGGTATGCATTTCACAGAAAAAAAAATTGGTTCAAAGTTAGTTCCTGGCTCCGGGCTGGCCAAACTCCTCTGCTCCCGTGGGAGTGAAAAGTGCTGGTCCTGGCTCCCAGCTTACTGGCTCCAGAGCTCTGCCCTTACCCACTCTGTGCTCACCTGGGCTCCCCAGGCCAGGAGCAGGTGGTGGAGAGAGGGTCTGGGGTCCATCGCTCATCCCCACGTGGTCACTGCTGCCATGGGGAATGTGGGCCTGGATGGCTGGAGTGAAAGCTGGAACACGTTCGGAAGACCATCTGTGCTTGGCTTGGCTTGAAAGCCTACCCTATGCCATCTCACCTTCTCAGCGGGGAAACAGGCCCAGAACAGGAAGAAGGACCTGGCATAGGGTTCCCACAGAGTGGCTGCCCCTCTGACAGGGACAGCTCCTTTGGGAAAGCTGGTGAATCCATTTCATGCCCGTCAGAATGGCTGGCATAGGGAAACTCAAATACTCAGGAACCTTTTCTTTTTAGAATTCTCTTAGGAGGAAGTCTTCTGAGGTGGCTACAGGATGTTACTCAGTCTTCACTTCCATATAAGCCTTGCGCACACACTGTGAGACCCCCAAAGGGATAGGTGAGTTTAGAGGTTCTTAAAGTTTAAGTCAGATGAGTCACTAACCCTAAGCCAGTGGACACAGCAGGGTGGAATGCAGGCCCAAGCCCTCGGTAGGCACTTCCAGCATGCTACTCTATCTCGAGCCTTTAGTGCCATCCCTGAAAAGCTGGGAAGAAACACGCAGGTAGAAAGGTTGTGGATTTCCTGGGAGGTCACAGAGGCAGGGCCAGCACCTGGCACTAGTAGGTGCTCTCTGCTCGCCATTTTCATTCTCTCCCTAGTGATCTGCCCAACAGCCAAGGTTCCCCACCACCCCGGGATTGCATATGCATGTAAGAAAGGCTGCCCATTTGTTGGAGGCCGCTCCCAGCCCCTGTTTTCAGAGTTCAGGGAACACCAATTGCAGGTGTTAATACTGCGTGGCTATCTCGTCATCTGAAGATCAACTTCAATTTTTTAATGGATGATATCTGACTTCATGTCGAACAAAAAGGAAGGAGAAAAACACGGCTGGTGGCGAACGTGATGATCCAATAAACAGTCACCATAGTTCTGCTCCAATAAAGTGCAACCCTCCGGAAGCTTTGGGCTTCAGTATTCAAGTGGAATTCCCTACCCACTGAGCGTTCTTAGAGTCCGAGAACCAGGAGATCAATGCGGCGCCCCTCCTTCCCGGGCTGCAGTCCAGCGTGCGGACGCGCGGGGGCAGCACCGCAGCCGCGGGTTCGCTGAGCGCCTGGCAGTTGACATTGCAAAATTGGGGGATTTTCCACACTTGCTTTTCTTTTTCTCTTTCGGCCGGCCGGCAGCCCATTGTTGTTTCCGAAGGGTGAAGGAAGGAAGCTGAGTCTGTTCTCAGAGCCTCCCCGGTGCCGGCTGGACTTTCGACTGCGGGGTGCGGAGCTGGTTTTGTTTAGGGAGAAACTTTTAAAGGGACTGTGGATCGCGAAGGGGCCACTCCTGGCCTCCGTGTTGGGAGGAATGGGCCTCAGGGGATCGAGCTGGGCCTCGTGGCCACTCTAATTTCACCTGTGCGTCCTCCCGCTCTGTGATACCATCTCTTCTGGGGTCCCCGCGCCCAAAGCCTCTTGCCTCGGTCCCCTCTGAACCCGCTGCCACAGCCGAGTCCTGGAAAGTCCCACCTTGGCGCCTGCAGCCTACTTCTCCAGGAAGCCTTCTCTGCTCCCTTCCTTTGGGAGAACTGTTGAGACCCCGTGCACCCCCTCCCACAGTACGACGAGGTACTGGTTGTTCCTTTCACCTGAGCCGGGCAAGGAGGCCTGACCACCGACCAGCCTCTTTCCAGGCCCCCGAGAGACATGTTCCGGTTGTCCCTCTGGAGGTCCCAGCTCCAGGTAGAGGCAAGGGCACCCGCCTGCTTTTCCCTAGCTCTTATGACACTGATTGGTGGCAACTGCTGGGGCAGAATGGAGCTAGCCTGGCAGCATCTTGCCGCACCTGCCCTGGTCCCTGGTACCTGGGTCCATCTCCCAGGTCTTCCATCCTTTGTGTCTTGTCCTGTGGATTTAAGGCCTCCTTAGATCCCATGGGAAGAAGGTGGGCATGTGGGTGTATGGCAATCTGAGCAATTTGGGAAGCAAAGGCCCTGTTTCCCACTGGCCCAGGACCTGTGGCTTGTGGTCCAGCTATGGCACGTGCATCCTCCTGCTCTGTGATGCCTGTCTCTCCTGGAGTCTCCACTGGCCCAGAGCCTCCTACATTGGCCCCTACTGGACGCTCCCACACCGTGGCCCTGCTCCAGCCCTTCCTTGCTGAAGGGGTGGGGGGCAGACGGCCCTCTACCAGCCTCAGTGCCTGTGTGTGAGGTGAGGCTGACAGTGGGCAGGGCCGCTGGTACTCTGCCCTGCCAGTGAAAGCCTGTTTTGAGTCTGACTTCCCATCCCAGCCACCCTCCTCCCCCACACTTCCCTGTGCCTGGGTTGTCGGCAGGGCAGAGTCGGGCCAGGCAGGGCAGGTTCCACAAGCTTGGTGAAGCATGGACAGGTGATGTTGCCCCAGGGCATTGTCCTGGTTCTTCCACTTGAAACTGCTGCAGGGACACACCTTTAGAAATTCCAGGGCTAAGTCGGGCTCTCAGAGTCTGTGGGCAGGGAGAGGTGGGGAGGCCCCTGTGTCCACTGAGGGCCCATCCCTGGTTGGTACCTTTGTTTTCTCTGCCCAGAGGGACCAGACCTTAGTAGGGTGGGGGGACATAAGGAAGGTATGAGCAGTTTGGAAAGATGCATTGGTGGTGAGGTTATGGGGCTGGGGGTAGGTGGGCAGCTCTTTGGAGGGCTAAATAGTGTAGAATGAGTCAAGCCACCAGGACTAGGACCAGGGGGTGCTGGCTGCCCTGTCCGGGGCCAGCAGCAGGGATAAGCCCACAGCTCAGACCCGGGGGACCAGCAGCAGGGACGTGCACAGCTCAGACCTGGACCAACAGCAGGGAGAGTGCACAGCTCAGACCCGGGGCCAGCAGCAGGGACAGTGCACAGCTCAGACCCGGGCCCAGCAGCAGGGGCAGCGCCTGGCTCAGACCTGGGTCAGCAGCGGGGATAGTGCCTGGCTCAGACCCGGGCCAGCAGCAGGGACAGCACATGGCTCAGCCCTGGGGACAGCAGCAGGGACAGCGCATGCTCAGTCTCAGTCTCAGATGGGGGCCTGGA